ATATACATATATTATAGTTTTGTAAGGGTATATATTTTGTATTTGCAAATCGCTTCACTTACCTAGATCAGGAATCGAGCTGGACGGCTCTTCGCCATTGCTGTTGTTGTTGTTGTTGTTGTTGCTGCTGCTGTTGTTGTTGTGGTTGTTGTTGTGGCTGTTGCCGCTGCTGCCCAGGCTCGAGGCATGTTTTAGCTTGGGCGGCGGCGGTGGCGGAGGTGGTCGCATAGCCGAACTGTTGTTGTTATTGCTGTTGTTGTTATTGTTGTTGCTGTGAAGATGGTGCGTTGGCAACTGTTGTTGACAGTGATTGTTGCTGTTGCTGTTGCTGCTGCTGGAGACGATAGGCGTGCGAAATATGTGCGCGGACGAGGACGTTGCTGGGCAGGTGGAGGAGGAGGAGGAGGAGGAGGCGGATGCGGGCGAGGCGCTGCTGGAGCTGACATTGGCAATGACATGATGTTGCTGCTGCTGCTGCTGGTGCTGGTGTTGCTGCTGATGTTGCTGTTGTTGTTGCTGCTGTTGCTGATAGTGGTTGGCAGCAATAACATTGACATGCCGTGTGCTTGTGCTGACCACAAATTTGCGAGCGGCCGCTGTGGGCGGCGCAGCGTTAACGAAGAGCTGCTGCGGCGCAGGAGGCGGCAGCGGCGGCGGTGGCGGAGGCGTGGCTGGCGGCGTCTGCTGGCGCTGCTGCTGTTGGTACTGCACATGCGTCGGCTGCTCTGCATAGGCCGCGCGCCGATTGATGACGGGCGAGACGGGCGCGGAACGCGAATGGTGATGCAACGGCGGCGGCGACACGGAAAGGCGGCGTGCCACAACGTTGCAAGCGCTGCCGGGCGACAGAGATTCATCATAGAGGCGACCGTCGCGTATGACGCGCACGGCAGAGGAGCGCTGATGCAACTGCAACTGTTGCTGCTGCTGCTGTTGATGTTGTTGTTGCTGTTGGTGCTGCAACTGTTGCTGCTGCTGTTGCTCCTCTAGCTGATGATGCAGCGGAGGAGGGGAGGCAGGTAAACGTTGCTGCTGCTGTTGCTGCGGCTGTTGATAGTGCACGGCGGAGGGGCTGGCGGAGTGGCGCCTCGGCAGATGCCCGTGCGACTGCGTTGCAGGCAGCGTGCGCGTTATTATGATCTGCGGGGCAGCTGTTGCTGTTGCTGTCTCTGCATAGATTTGCTTGTTGCTGCTGCTGTTGCTGTTGCTGCTGGTGGCGCGCTGCTGCTGCACGTACTCGACGCGCGGCGTCAGTATCACCTTCTGTGTGCCGCCGGGCGTGGTCAGGCCGGTGGGCTGGCGCGGCGGCACTGTCTGCACCTGCACGTGCGTATAGCGTTGCGGCGTAACATTGTTGCTGCTGTTGTTGTTATTGTTATTGCTGCTGCTGCTGCTGTTGTTGCTGTTGTTGTTGCTGCTGTTGCTATTGCTGTTGCTGCTTTGACTACTGCTACTGCTGCTGCTCGGTTCCGTTTGGCGTCGCTCCTGCTCCTCCAGCTGCAGCAGCTCGAAATCGATGGGCTCCGTCTTGATGTGCTTGGCATTGCTGCTGGCAGCGGCGGCAGCGGCAGCAGCTGCTGCTGCTGCGGCCTCCATGCACTTCAGTTTCTTCAGCATATTGGCCAATCTAAGTTCTATATATATATATGGGAATATATATTTGTATATATATTTCTGTCTGCTTATTGGATTTGATCCTGAATCACTTTGCGTTGTTGCCTCTAAATCTGCCTCTAGTTTATAAACTCGCTGCTCTTCAGCTTCCTTAACTTGTTCTTCTTGTAAAAATCAGTCTCTTCTTCTTTACACTTGTTGCATATAGATGTATATATTTTTTTTTGTGTTTTAATTTTTTTGGGGGATTATCAAAATGTTTTTTTCAGCCTTCAAGTTGCAAAGTTGTTTTCGTAGTTCCTAGAATATTGTTTCTTACTTCTCTAGCGTTGTCCTTAAACCTGCCCAGATCGAGATATATATATAAAT